ATCAACATCCTTCTCCATTCTTTGGTAGGCCCCCCTTTTTGTAAGAGGTATCTTTGCAATATTGAAACAGTGTATGAAATTTGTTTTGAACAGCTTTACCCCAACCCTTTTTGTAAAGTATGTCCAAAGTACACCGGGAAACCCTAGAATGAATATGAATATGTTCCACTATTAAGGACCATTGAAATCCATGAAATGGTAAGGGTCACTGTACATGGCACGTGGCTACTCTTGTTACAAATGTAGGGGTGATTGAAACAAACAATTCCAGGGCTTCATGGGTTCTAGTTTTTTGTGGGGAAGGTGTTTGCAAATGTTAACAACATGAAGGGGTGTCTCACCAAAACAATTCCACCATTTCATGGGCCCAAACTGCTGGTGGCGAAATTAGTAAGCTTAGGGTAACGTGGATGCTTGTAATGGGTTATATATGAAAAATGCCTAAAATGTTTCCAAAAATATTAGTTAGCTAATATTGCAAGTGGAATTCGGGCTCTCGATCCGAAGACTTTCCGCCAAATAGCTACAAATCATATCCCAAATCTATTCAAACATCACAGGGCACTAGCTCCTTACAAAATGACTCTGGGAAACAGTTGCAAGCCTCTTACAAAAAGAGCAGGTGCAACCTGGACACAAATTTGAGAACCCATTGTTCACATCATAACCTTCCTACAAAATGCCTTTTGGATATTGGCGATGCAACTACAGAATGAGGGGATGTAACCCCTTCAATGTTAACTCTGACTTGATTTCCTTACAAAATGGCTTCTGACTTTTGGAAAGAACAACTACAAAATGAGTCCTGGTTTCATTCTTACAAGATGCCCAGGTACTAGAAATTGATTTCTTACAAAATGACCCCTGCCAACCATTTTATATGGGCCTTAAGGCCACCCATTTCGTAGTGGAAATGGGGATGGGGATGTGCAGGGAAAAAAAAGACATAATTCTAGGGGGGTTTATAAATCTGAGGGCCACATTAGGGGTAAGCTCTGCGAGATGGGGCAGAGTGAAAACAGGCTGCTGAAGAGAAGCGACGTGCTGAGGGAGACAATGTAAAAAGAAACAAATATGCGACGTGCTGCGCGCAGCCCTGACACCAGAAGCGCGCTAAAGAGTGTCCAGCAAATATGATTCAAGAGCAGTGTCAAATCGACATTAGAAACAATAAGCTACTAGTAACAAGTGCATCGCTACTAGTAACAAGTGCCTTACTAGTAGAAACAAGAAGCTATGAGAGACAAAAAGCTACTAGTAACAAGTGCATCGCTACTAGTAACAAGTAGTGTCAAATCGACATACCCTCGCTCACAAATGCCACCGCACCCTCGGTGTAGGTCTGGATGATGTTGCTTGCAGAGCTTTGCATAAGCCTTTCATAGCTTCAATCAGTATCTGTGTCTTGCTTGTCGCGTCAAGAAGCTTACCATCTTCCAAACTGTTCCAAAACAGTCCACTCCACAGAGGGGCACTTCCCCTTCCTCCCTCCTCTTTACTTGCTGCTACTTGATCTCAATCCGCCTTGCGAATCTGCCGCTTCCTGCTGCACTTGCATAGGAGATGCTCTTGGACAAAACAACTAGACGACGGTTGGCCCGAGAGCGAGACATGTAATTGTCCAGCACTGTCGAAAAGATGTATAGAAAGAGAGAAAGAGAGGGTGGATGTGAAGGAGTGACAGTGTGGATGTGCAGGTGCGATATAGGTCTGTAGATGTATGGAGGTGGAGAGGTAGATCTGTGGATTGGAGCGTGCGAAGATGTAAATGCACAGAGACGAGAGAAAAGATATGTAGAAAGAAAGAAAGACAGGACAGATGTGAAGGAGCGACAGTGTGGATGTACAGAATGTGATATAGATGTGTGGGTGTGGTGAGGTGGAGAGGTATAGATCTGCGGATGTGAGCGTGTGAAGATGTAAATGTAGAGAGGTGAAGGGGGTGTAGACGTAGATGCGTCGATGCAACGGCAGCGCAACGTCAACCTTAGTTGTGCAAGTACAACGCTGAAGAGGCTCAAAAAAACTGAAGAACGTACATTTCACACTGAAGTTTCCACGAACAGGGCGACCTGAGAGTAAACGACATCACGATCATGACAAGCGACTCGTGTATTCCAAGCGAACATCGTTTGTCATGAAGAAGTACACACATACTAACGTCACGATGACTCTTTTGTGGCAGCCACTTATGAGTAAGCAAAGTAGCAAAAATTTGTCAACCTCTCAAGAGAACCGGGTCGTCGGGAGACATGACTCAGCTGCAGGGGCGCCAGAGCAGCCGCGAGAGATGACTCAGCCGCGAGAGATGACTCATCCGCGTACTAAAGTTGCACTACAAAGTCGCCAGTTCTCAGCTTCCAGCTCCACAGCTTGCTCCGCGTACTAAAGTTGTACTACAAAGTCGCCAGCTCTCATCGCCCAGCTCGCCAGATACTCCGCGTAATCAAGTTGTACTAGGAAGTTGCCAGTTCTCATCTTCCAGCTCCCCAGTTACTCGCACGATCTCCGCAGAGGGTTGCCCCGGACCGGGCCAAAACGCACTCTCGCCTGCATTTCGCGCGCTCGACACGCACGATCCCCGCAGAGGGTTGTCCCGGACCGGGACAAATCGCGCTCTCGCCTGCATTTCGTGCGCTCGACACGCACGATCTCCGCAGAGGGTTGCGTTTCGCGGTGCTCCGGCGTTACTGCGCCCGGCCTTAAGAGAGAAAGTTAACGAGAGCGAGAGGTGACGATGTGCGATGTAGATGAGAGGGAAGGATGTGAGATTTAGATGTGAGGACGTGAAGATGAGCAGAGATGTAGATGCGCAGTTGTGAATGTAGATGTGATGTGAGGATGTGAAGATGAGCAGAGATGTAGATGCGCAGTTGTGAATGTAGATGTGCCAGTGGATGTGCAGAGGTGAAGATGTGAAGATGTAGATGAGACGTAGTTCTTCTGCAGATGTTTTTTTACGAAGAACCCTTCGCAGACGCTCTCGGGAAAAAGAGATTCCAACGCAAAGCAACCACATTCACCAGTCGCTTTAATAACTTAAACACTACTTTTCTTCAGGTTGAAAACTCATCTGTGTCACAAAATAGCAGCTGCCCCACCCTGAAAAAACTGGAATCTGAAGTGTGGCGTAGGGATCCAATCGATTTGCGTCATCCTTGGCTTGAGTGCATCTTTCCCATTCTGACAAGCATGTGCCAACAACCCTCCCACGAGAAAGCTGAGTCAAGATTGAATTTGCCGAAGAATGCACAGCACACTCAAAAAGGTATGAAGAACCTACTATGCGCTTTTGCTTGGCAAACGTTCAGCGCTCAGCCAGGAAGTCGAATGGGGTCTTCTGGAGTTGCCTGACACTGTCAGAGCAAACACAACAGCATAGCAATCTGAAAAATGGAAGTGCAACAAACAATGCAACGATAAACAGAACTACACAACACGGCCCTGCCCCAGTGAAACCAAGGGAAAGCGTGACAACGGCCTCAAAGCAACACACTCACTCTTCTTTTCCGCACAAGAAACCGCACGGTGTGGTGTGTGGGGTTCACCAAGGATGCGACACCTCCGACTTGGAACCTCGAAGGAATGCTCAGCTGATGGTTGAGAGGCTGAGACACTTTAGCATCACTTTGGCACAAAGAGAAGTCTACGGGAACGAAACTGACAAGGTGAACATGCAAGGCTGAACAAACTGGAAACATTGAAAACAAAGCTTGGATCCCCTCCTTCTCTCTCTCTTTCTCCTTTATCAAACTGGGAGTACGACGCTGTGTCTCGCGGGCTTTTCGCCGAAAAAATCCTCTTGCTACTTTCCTCCTCAAACGGCAAGCTGCCACACACACCGTCAGGTGGTCAAACATGTTCAAACTGCCTGTCCTGTTTTTCCTTTTCCAGCTGACGGCGCGAAAGGCCCCATAAGCCGCTCCAGAAGTAGCGCCAGCACAAGTAGATCGGCCCATGGTACCCATGGAACGCGTGCCAGAGATCGCCCTTCTGGACCGATTGGGCTCAAGCGGTAACGTTCTCGTTGGAGTCCTGCAAAAAGTCACCAATGTTGAAATCCATCCAGGCTTTGGTTGTTGCTAGAAAGCTTTATTGTTACTAGTAAGTTATTAGGGGCGATGGCCTCCAACCTAATAGCGATGGCCTCCACCTAGTAGCTTCTAGTTACTAGAAGGTCTCCCAATTGTTCTGGTTGATGTGACTGCTGTCTTTTTCATGTCAAGGTGTTCAAGATGTGAATCTATCAAGGTTTCGTGCATTCGCAGGGATCGCTTTTGACATTCATTGCTAAAAAGAAAGCCAAGAAGAGCTTAGTGCTTCTGTTCTTTTCCAATGAAAGACATTCCAAGTTTTAAAATACTTTACTTCGAGTGATTCCCACCATGACATTTCAAAGCAGCCACGTTGACATCACCCTCGTTGTGTATTTCAACCCTTAGCACAAGTCCTTCAGCACCAAGTCTTACTGTTTTGTCCAATGCGAATGCTTTCATCAGGAGACCTGCGCCCAACTATGTAAGAATACAACTCAGATCCTCCGGTTGCGCGTTGTGGTTGTGTGCTGTGATTGTGTTGTGATTGTGTGTTGTGGTTGTGTGTTGTGTGTTTGTGATTGTAGTTGTGAGCTGCGGTTGAGGTCCAGCAGGGAACACTTGGGCCTGGAGCTCGCAGTTGAGTTCCAGCAGGGAACACTGGGCGCGGATGGTCGTGGTTGAGGTCCGGCAGGGAACACTGGGCGTGGATGGTCGTGGTTGAGGTCCGGCAGGGAACCCTGGGCGTGGATGGTCGTGGTTGAGGTCGGGCGGAGGAGGACGAGGCGGAGGAGGACGCGGAGGAGGAGTAGGAGGAGGAGGAGGACGAGGAGGAGGAGATGGGGCTGACGTAAAATCTAACAACCCTCACCTGACAGGTGGGGAACAAAGTTCCCAGTCCGATTGTCCTGCAGTCCACCCGCCATCTCAGGTGCAACATGCATCCGCTTCAAAGATCGAACACAAAAGTTGTTGATGTAACAAATAAGAACCGATAAATGTGACGAAACACTTTTGTTTCTCTTGATGTCTCCTCCATTTCCGCTTGTATGTCTGTCTGAACACCATATGTTTTAGTCATTTTGTGGAACGTTCGAAATGGCAACAAGGCTCAAAACCGCGGAGCCACAGCTTTGCTCCCGCTTTTTGTGGCGGAGGCGGAGACATTCAAATTCCGGATATTCTTTGTAAAGCATGATGTGCTGAACGGGTAGGTCTGCAACAAACAGGACGTGAATAGAGAACATGTCCATGGTCCATGCTACCAAGAAAAGAGAAAGAAAAGGATGTCCGAATTGGCGCAAATGGCTCAAAACTCTTTTTCTCCTGGAGCTCCACATGATGCGGAGCTCAAACAGGTGGAGAGTTGGTAGTCGATATGTCGGATAAGTTGAAAGATTGAGAGCTCTAAATCCCTAGCAAGCTTCTCGCAGGGAAGAGCCTCTCGCGGCAGCGGCAGTGCCCTCATTTCTTGGACTCCTTTTGTTCTCCCATTGCCTTCTGCTGGCTGTCCAACTGTTGCTGTTGGCTGGCCAAGCTCTTGGCAATCTCGGACTTGTGGCTCTCCAAAGCCTGCTTCTGAGCCTCCAAGCCCTTACTACTGGCTTCCTTGTGCTCAGCAAACTCTTTCTTGTGGCTCTCCAATTGCGCAGCTGCCTCTTCTTTGTGCTTCGCAAGT